AGGAGTAGTAAGTTGTAGTAAGGACACGTGGACTGGTACTCCAACGATCTTTCTCAATCTCTTCTTGACTTCCAAGCGTCTTTCCAGAGATGGCCAGGTCCATCCACGGCCCCGAGTCTTCCCGGTACTCCCAAGTGACCGCGATCGAAGTCGAAGCAATCGATGTGTTTCCGCAGGACGAGTGAGCCTGTCAAGTCAGGTCTGTCAGGATTCTCACACTCCGGTTCTCTCACTTGAATCTCAAAGCAACAGGTACGCTTCGTGGCCAGGGAGCTCTCGTCTCCACAGAGAAGGCCACTGGCTCGCCTCAAGCTCACGGTTTCACCGCACGCGTCAAAGGCTCTGAATTTGGAAGCCTAGCAGCTGTTGAAGATGAAGGCTGAGACGGAGGATGTGGGTGAGACGATTGGCATGGGCTCTTCTGTCCTCTCCAAATAGACTGTGGCTGAGGCCTCGGAACACACACAGAGAGAAAAAATACTTTCAGCTGAGAACAACACCTGGTCAGACATGCCCAGCCAGTTGGTGATGTCGGCCACAAACTCAAGCCTCAGTGACATCTAGACGGCCTCTCTCCTCTCTTTCTTACATCTCCCGCTTCCGTCTTGCGTCCACATAGCTCAGCTGCGGGCTTCATTTCCGAGGAATGGAAGAGAGACCCCATTTCAGCCTTGATCTGTTCCACGGCGGCAAAGAATTCCTCTTCGGAGATCTGAAAGGAGATCCTTGCAGCCCAGCAAATCGCTGCACCCAGCTCTGCATCCGTCTCCCGTCTCCGCCCGCGCCATGTCTTTTTGTCCAAGTGGCTCAGTTGTGTCAAGCTTGGCCTGCCGGGGAAGCGAATCCGAAACAAGCAAGCGGACACACAAGAATGCTAACCGAACCAGCACATACAAAGCAAAGCACAGGTTGGAAAAGCCGATATCTCGTTACAAGCTGATTTTGACCTCAAAACCCGATTACCCCCTGGCTTGGTTTGGATTTGGATTGAACCGGTTCTGGACGTAGACCCAAGCTCCCAAGCCACATCAGCTGCTCCCCGGACGTGTTTCATCGGTTTTCTTCTGGACGGCTGCTGTTCCTTTGCTTTTGGGGTGTGTCAAAAGAGGGGATCCCCAAATGCCTGTGGGTCAAAAAAGGGTACCCAGAATGGAGCCCTGGTAAATGGAAACATGGACCCAAACCTGCGGTCCTCTGGTGGTTTACTTTTGACCGATACCCAAATGGACAGAGAATCCGTGGGTTTTTCAGCTGAAGGTGTGTGTGTGATCTGAGACCCACGTTTGGATGGCTTCACCATTTCCTTGGAATTCGCAATCCGTTCGACGTTCCAACGTACCCGTTTCGACTTCGGACTTCACATTTCGCCTCAAGCTGCTGCGCCAGCTGCGGCGTGCTGCCGTTGCCAAAGCTCCAGGCCACGGACCGCAAACCCCGCACGGCTGTGGACGTGGATGCAGTGACCTCAGTGAACAAAATTCTTTGAAAAAAAAGAAAGATACCAAACTCGATCCAAAAGAGCAAGAAGATACCGATTCCGTGACAAGCTTATTAAGCCCTGCGTCCGAAAACCGCATCCGTTCAACCCGTCTGAATCCCCCAATTTCCGCCAATGGGGCGGTGGGCCCACGCCGAGCTGCTGAGATGCGGCTGCAAGCTTGAGCCCTTGCCGGGGATGCCTGAACCACCTCGGTGACAAGCAAAAGGAAAGAGAGAAAAGCATGAGATTAAAGAGAGTTAAAGTCACTAACATCTCAAAGCCACTGCCCGTGGGCGTAGCATGGGCTGGTTGCTGAAGGCAAAGGCTTCTGCAGATGCCATGAGCTGGCCGGAGCGGGTCGTGAGGGAACCCGGCAAGATCTCGACTCTGCTACCTGAGTCAGCACCTGTTAACCGACGGTGCCGGCCGAAGTTTGTACTTGTTGTTTGCTTTAAGTACGCTGGATGCACTTTCGAAATCCGGGCGACCTCTATGTGCTCAGAGCCATTTTGCCGCACACTGGTTTCCGGAAAGGGAGACAGTCCGTTGTATTTGGGGCTTGACAGGCACTGACATTTCTCAACGAATTTTAACACCTCGAACCCGGTCGACTCTTTCCCCACCTTCTCTCTGTCAGAGCCCAGTACTCTGAGGCGTGACACTCCGACTCTGGGGAGGGAGGGGGATCATGCATCCGACGATGACATCACGCTGCGCACGTTGCGAAATTGCAGAAAAACAGCTGTCAATGAAAGCTCTACGTATGAATGCGCAAGAAGGTTTCAGTCTGAAAGCGCTGCGCGCAGCGGCTTCTTTCATGGTGATTGCAAACACATGTCGAAGAAAGTCAGCATAAACACCACCAGGAGCCCTCAAACTGTCAAAACTGCTCTGTAAATCCAGTGCAACATCATGTCCAATATCCAAAACTTCTACATATAACGACATGTGCGCCATGTTGGCCAGCTCAATCTGTGCGCACAGTGCATACAGGCAGCCGATCGTGATGGTGGAATCCATTCCCAATGTGATCACCAAGTTCTTCCCGTCAAGCAAGCTGCAGGTTGCTGAGGAACCGATCCTGACTTGCTGACAATTAGAGCGGAACTGACATCTGACTGCCTAGCACTAAAAAGTAAGCTCTGGTGATACCCCCAACAGCACCCCACCCGTCTGTAGCGCTATCAAACAAGCTGATAAAATTTCAAGCAAGGCAATTGCGAGTCGCGAGCAAACCTCTCTAAAGTGGAAATCAGGATCTAAGGTGACAAGTCGTTTAACTAATAGCGAAGCAGCATAAGAAGCAGAGCCCATATCAAGAATAGGATTTCTTGTGGCGTGGGGTTGCTTCTAAGTGTGGCGACCAGCAAAATAGTTGGTTTCCTTTTGACTCGCATGTGATGAGTTCGGCTGTCACACCCGGATTTTGTGACGGAATGTTTGGTTTCATGCGCCCACTTTCTGAGAGGACTTTCTTTCTGCGAGGCCTTTCTTTCACAAACCTGACTTCCACAGGGGGGGAGATTTGTAAAAGAACAATGACATTCGTCACAAAACAAAACAAAAATCACTTTAAGAGAAGTCTGGCCCGCTCCGGCCACACATAGCGCAGAAATTGCCCCACGCAATTTATGAAGAATGCCCATGACATCCGTCGCAAAATCAAGGTGTGACAGCCAAACTCGTCACGAATCCGTTGCGCAACAGCCCGCAAACCACTGCACAAACAATCTTTGCAAAGAAGACCCCAACATTCCCCACACTTGATGGAAGACATCGAAACTGCGAAGGCGCACCCCAGGCAACTGAAAAAGACACTCCTTCCAGCGCCCGCTCTACAGCTATGTCCTCGCGACGCAGGCCACTCCTGATGCTATGGATCAAGCCCCTACGCGACCTGGCCTCTCCAGGCAGCCACCATGTCCACCGCTGCTACCGCCTCTTCCCGAACATGCCCTCACTCACGGCTCGCCAAGACGGTGTCCAGCGCTACCGGCTTTATGGGCCCTCCTCCAGCAAATCTAATTGAGCAGTAGGCGCGAAAGAGGCAAAAGGCCAAAATTTTGTCTCGACAAAGGCGCGGTTCCCCGTTTTGGTCTGTTCTGGGTTTCCTTTCTTTTCCTTGGTTCGGCTGCCCTGTGTTCCCCCTTCGGTGTGTGTGTGCCCAGTCTTCGGTTTTTTTTGCTTGGTTTCTCGGACCTTCGCTAGCTGCTGGCGTCCCTGATGGAGGGCTAGCGAAGGAAAAGACGATCAAGCGTGGCCTGCGCCGAAACTCCTTTGGGTTCTTTGGGGGGGGGCAGCACAGCGCCAAGTAAATGTCCTCTGAAGGCTCATCCGAATCCATGGTCGGGCGCGTCAGGCTCTGCCGCTGGGTGAGGTTCGTGGAGGTTGCTGGGACGGCGTGCGGGCCCTGAACGTCCGGCCAGCCGTGGCATTCCCAGTCCTGATAGTAGGTCGCGAGGGTGGTGCCCGGACGAGTCCAGACCGAACCGACTGAGATGCCAGGATCCAACGCTTCTTCTTGAAGATCTTCACCTGCTCCTTTCCCGTGGAGAAGTCGATCCTGCACTCCACCCAAGGTTCATTGCCAAAGATGAAGCCACCAACCATGATGATGGCAAGGGAGGGCACTGGCCTGCTAAGCGCTGATAGCAACAAGGCTGAACAGTGAAAGAGCTGTACCGCCGCGGGGCCAAGCCATAGATGCTTGTTGGTGCAGCACTGACAGGGACCATAAGGGGACCAGAAACAAAGAGGAACCAGAGGGGGCCCCACAAGACACCGAAAAACCCCGAGAGCCCCAAACACAAAGGAGAAGGGTAGCAGACACTCTTTTCGCGCGGGGCCGTGTCGGAGCCTATTTGGTGTTCTTCCGATGCGTTCCACGGTCATCTAGCGCGTCATGAGGTCTCCGCCTCGAGCTCCTTCGGCAAATCATACGCGCCTCCTTCAGCAATTGCGCCGTCGGCTGAAGCCTTCACCACGCGGCTCTCCGCCGCAAAGGGCGGTGACTGACAGGTTGGCTTGGCCTTGACTGGGATCGCAGGCAGTGGTCCTGCAGATGGCAGCGAAGTCGGTAGAGGAGCCGATGGTGCGGTTGCCGAAGGAGAAGTCAGCGCGCCCCGACTGCCATTGCCAGTGTGTGTGTGTGTGCCATTGCCGGTGTTTGTGCCACCTCCGCCTGCACCACCGCTCAGGACCTTTCTTTTTCTTTTTCTTGTTCTTTTTCTTTTCTTTGTATTTTTATTTTTCTTTTTCTTGTTCTTTTTATTTCTCTGTTTTCTTTTTATGTTCCTTTTCTTTTTCCTTCCTCTTCTCGTTTTCTCTTCCTTTTCCCTTCCTTCCTTCTTTTTTCATTTTTTCTTGCCTGTTCTGGTTCACCCTGGCGAACCCCTGGCAACAGTTTCTGGCGCTCGGTTCCTTTTCCATCAGTGTGCATACCGGTTTCAGCGCCTTGTGTTCAAATCCTCGTTCGGCGCCCTCAATGGCGTCACAGTGGCCGTACCAGTGGCCTTCCTCTATGTCATCGCCGGCATCTCAGCAACTGCCACCATGGTCGCCTATGGTCACGCTCCGCTGCTTGTCCAATGGACGCTCTCAATCACCTGATGGCTCGCTCCATAGCCAAGGCATTTCTCCTCACCAGCATTTGTCCTCGACCGCCTTCCCATTATCTTCGTGGTGGAAAACCCCCAAGCTCCTCCGGCAGGGCATTTTCCTCTCCCCTCACCGACAAGGTGCTCAAGACCTGGATGCAAGAACCAAGACCAGCTCAAGGCCGTCGCGGTCAAGTGGGGGACCCCTTGGTTTGAAAGGGTTCTCGCAGGGCGCTTCTGCAGTTCATCACGGTCCTCTACATGTTCGGCAAGTGAGGCCCCGCCTCATGATCGGTAGCTGTTTCGCAACCCTTGCCGGAACAAGCAGCACTTTTGCCAACTAATCGCTGTGCTTGTTCCCCGGGTTCACCTGAAACGCCACACCCAGCACCTACACCTTTGCTTTGTTTCAACAGCCAACTGTGGTGCGCTGGAAGCAGCGCTTATTATTCCGGGCTACTCGCCCTTGGTCCGTCAACACCCTCACTTACGCAAACCGGAAGCACAATCGGCGCGCAAAGCTCCACTGCATCCAACAGGGCCAGTTTGTGAACGCAGAACCCGCCCTTCGCTAGGCGGCGCCACGACGAGTCCGCCGCTTTTGGGTCCAGGAGCACACACTTGTCAGTATGCATCAGCCAGCGCTCAACTGACCGTACATTTACCGCATGTACAAACGAGTCTTGACAGGGCACACAGCCACCAAGTTCTTGTCAGATCAACCTTGGTCCCGGCTTGGCAGACTGCAGCTGCACAGTGTACGGACGCAACTACCATCACGTCGGCGGCAGGCACTCGGACCTAGACGTATACGCGACACACCGTCTCGCTGGAGGCAGCATCAAGCCGGAAGGACCTCATCGGCATCGGGTTCACATTGCGCTCAAGCGCGTTCTCACCTCCGGTGCCTTCAGACCCCCAGGCTCAATCGCCTTCTTCGTCTTCCTTGGCTACCAGAGCGCCACACAGAGCCTCCTACGACAACTCCTACTTCACTACCGAGGCTGGGCGCTCCCGTTCCACATCCCAAGAATTTAACTTGCGTAAAGGATCGCGGGGGTTATAAGGCGACAAGGATCCTGCAGCACGGTTTGCTCAACAAACTGCATGTGAGACAGAACAGCGTGAGTGCCACGCGCGATGCACCCTTCCGATTTGTGGAGAGGGCATGCTCAACGGTTGGTTGCTGTAGGCAAAGCCGTTTAAGAACATGGCCTTCGAAGGACGCAAGGATGACGATGACCGTACAAGCAACCATACGAACAAAAATCCTGCAGCGCGCGTGTGTGTGTGTGTGTGTATATGTGTGTATGTGTGTAGGTGTGTAGGTGTGTAGGTGTGTAGGTGTGTAGGTGTGTATGTGTGTGTGCGTGTGTGCGTGTGTGCGTGTGTGCGTGTGTGCGTGTGTGGGTGTGTGTGGGTGTGTCTCTGTGTGTCTCTGTGTGTCTCTGTGTGTCTCTGTGTGTCTCTGTGTGTGTTTGTGTGTGTCTGTGTGTGTCTGTGTGTGTCTGTGTGTGTCTGTGTGTGTCTGTGTGTGTCTGTGTGTGTCTTTGTGTGTCTGTGTGTGTCTGTGTGTGTGTCTGTGTGTCTGTGTGTCTGGGTGTGTCTGTGTGTGTGTCTGTGTGTGTCTGTGTGTGTGTCTGTGTGTGTCTGTGTGTGTCTGTGTGTCTCTGTGTGTCTCTGTGTGTCTCTGTGTGTTCTCTGTCTCTGTGTGCGTCTGTGTGTGTCTGTGTGTGTCTGTGTGTGTCTGTGTGTGTCTGTGTGTGTCTGTGTGTGTCTGTGTGTGTCTGTGTCTCTCTGCGTGTCTCTCTGTGTGTCTCTCTGCGTGTCTCTCTGCGTGTCTCTCTGCGTGTCTCTCTGCGTGTCTCTCTGCGTGTCTCTCTGCGTGTCTCTCTGCGTGTCTCTCTGCGTGTCTCTCTGCGTGTCTCTCTGCGTGTCTCTCTGCGTGTCTCTCTGCGTGTCTCTCTGCGTGTCTCTCTGCGTGTCTCTCTGCGTGTCTCTCTGCGTGTCTCTCTGCGTGTCTCTCTGCGCGTCTCTCTGCGCGTCTCTCTGCGCGTCTCTCTGCGTGTCTCTCTGCGTGTCTCTCTGCGTGTCTCTCTGCGTGTCTCTCTGCGTGTCTCTCTGCGTGTCTCTCTGCGTCTCTCTCTGCGTGTCTCTCTGCGTGTCTCTCTGCGTGTCTCTCTGCGTGTCTCTCTGCGTGTCTCTCTGCGTGTCTCTCTGCGTGTCTCTCTGCGTGTCTCTCTGCGTGTCTCTCTGCGTGTCTCTCTGCGTGTCTCTCTGCGTGTCTCTCTGCGTGTCTCTCTGCGTGTCTCTCTGCGTGTCTCTCTGCGTGTCTCTCTGCGTGTCTCTCTGCGTGTCTCTCTGCGTGTCTCTCTGCGTGTCTCTCTGCGTGTCTCTCTGCGTGTCTCTCTGCGTGTCTCTCTG